ATAACTTTGGAAACCATCCCTCTAAGATAAATTCAACTTGAATATATCACCTTTCTTAAAATAAACCATTCTCTGAGTGTGAACAGACAGCTTTTGGGGAAGTAATGAAGATATTTCTCAGAGTAGACCACAACAATAACCAGCTTTAATTCATTAAGTATTTTAGGCATAGAAACAAAAGTACATGTGGGAGAGCATAAATGTAATATTTATTGAGTAAACACACGCTCTAACGAAATTGTTTGATAGTCCACAATGTACTCTCGACTACAATAACCTTGAGAGATCTGCGATTTGTACAGCTTAACATTTATGTACAAAAGGCCATGAGAACTTTTGGGTTCTAGAGTACGGTCGAGTGCCTAATATTTCATTACTTTGAGTGGTTTGCAAGAAACGACCTCTAAGTAGTTACAATAAAATGAACGGTTTGGATTGAAGCTTACAGCAAAAGTGGTAAATGTAAGGAGAGTCAATTATTGTGTATTACATATTTCTCTCATACATTCGGTAAATAAAAAAAGTGACATAATTGTCGACCCTTCTGATGGATAATGATTTATTTAAGAAATAGCAACAGGCTTTATCCACTGTTTCGAAGAAAACATGTTCTTGTAGTTCGAAACGCTGTTTTCAAAGTACTTCCGATTAATAAAGCTCGTTCTCTAACTAAATTGTTCTGTAATTAAACTCAATAGACTCAAATAGTAGAATATACGAAGGTATGAATATGCAAAAATGACAATTTTGACGATCATATCTTTAACAAGTATTTGTATTTCTATTTTGTAAGTATGGCAAAGCTAATAAGGCCATCTACCGCCGACCTTAATTTTGAGCTACAGACCAAAGGGAAGGCATCGAGTCAGCAGCACCTTAACCTCCCATTCTAAGGGATTGATTATCAACTCTTATAACACACCCACAGCTTAAAGTGCAGGGAATATTTTAATATAGCACGGATTCGAACACGAAACGTTAGCTCCGAAATCACAGAACTCTATACCACAAGATCAATTCTTCTTCGACACAACAATAGAACGCCGAACTTCAGTTATTGTGTGGGAACCGATTACTAAAACAGTTTATGTAATTTAGTAGCACCAAGCTCACTGCTTTTACTAACCTCGAAATTTAAAAACAAAATCTGTCAATCTTGACAAGCTTCCAATTCTGTTTCATACAATATTATTTATTTAGGTGATGATTTTGAAATTTGGAAGTGCTGTGTCACAGTCAGACTTATTACCCAAATTATTTTCAAAAGATATGGTATCAAAACTTCGAAAATTTTTGCAATCTATATTGTTAAGAGCTACAGATGGCGCTGAATCGGCAGCTTATAATAAGCATTCGAACTGCAACTTTCTCACCTCGAATCTTGCAAAGGTAACGTCACTAATGTACAGTCCTAGACGGTCGTACAAATTCTACTGTACGTTTCCCTTCTCTACGTCTATTACTCTTTCTTACATAAGTCTTCAACGACGTGTATAGCATTGAAAAACAACACGAACACTTCAAGAACTTTTAAAGTTTAAATGTTTGTTTGTTTTGAATTTCGCGCAAAGCTACACGAGGGCTATCTGCGCTAGCCGTCCCTAATTTAGCAGTGTAAGACTAGAGGGAAGGCGGCTAGTCATCACCACCCACCGCCAACTCTTGGGCTACTCTTTTACCAACGAATAATGGGATTGACCGTCACATTATAACGCCCCCACGGCTGAAAGGGCGAGCATGTTTGGTGTGACGGGGATTCGAACCCGCGACCCTCAGATTGCGAGTCGAGCACCTTAACCACCTGGCTATGCCGGGCCAAGTTTAAATGTTATACACGCATAATTTTCATAAGTTTAGGCTTCTTTCTTGTTTTGTTGTTTTCTCGGGCGTAAAAAGAAATCGTTTCAGAAATTGTAAGAAAACAAAGACAGGGTAAATTTAATCCCGTTACCATTGCGTCTGGTGAGACACAAAGAAAACCCAGGTTATAATGCGATCAATAGAAGGACATGGATAATGTGTCGACCCGAAAAACTTGTCATTCTCCAATACAGTTCCTGAAACCTGCTGGTGAATGCTTGTTTTATATTAGAGAAAACTCTAACACAATTGGAAAGTGTCCAACAACAGTAAATAGGATAATCACAATATTTCGGAACTTTTGTTCGATATCATTATTCGAGGATCTGGGCCTTATCGAAAACTTTTTGATATGGGTATTTCTAGGAATTCAAACAGTATAGTCAATTTACGTATAACAACTAAAAGCAATATTACGATGGAAGAGCAAACAGTCTTAAACTAGAAATATTTAAACCCATTATTCCCGTCTTTAATTATTTCACCCACAAAGCTTCTTTTGTGAGTAATGATCAAATCAAATGTGTTATCAATCTAGAGATATTATTTCTTGAAAAGGAGGATATAACTAGATCGGAGAAATATTATTTATTTAAATATATTGTAGAACTTTATCATAAAATTGTAGAAACATGTTTTCACGTAAATCACGCTAAAGTTTTTTTGTTTTTTTTTGTCGTCCTCAAAATAATCTTAGATGAAAAACTATGAGAAAAGACGTAAATTTCATAACGTGCGTCTAGATAAATTTATAAAGCGGTCTACAGGCATTAATATACGAGGCAACGAAGCAGAATCAGTGCAGAATGTCTCACGCCCCAACTCGCACGCTCCTGTTATCTTTCGTGGTCATTTGGCTTGAAGATGAGTCCTTGGAGGAGCTAGGATCGGACTTGGTGAGGCAGAAGACTGACTTTTATAAAGCACTAGAATTACGCAACGACTTGGAAATACGTAGATATATCATTATGAAGCACACCCTTTCAAATTTCAAAAAAAGGAAGGAAGATTTGGCTATCAATATTGAAAGTCTTTAGAAAGCTCTCGAATGCTTAAATATTCTACGTGTTCTGTGCTTCTGCATGTTTACTGTGCCGTGAAAGTTCTATATTATTAAATCAGTCTATATAGTATCTTTTTAGACCTGGTGAACTGCTCCGATTGAGCTCCAGCTCATGATTTCTACAGACCAGAACATTATTCTCTGAAGTTCAATCTATCACTCATGTGTACATTGGTTGATGTGTTAAGTCTACAGTTACAAACACTTTTCTGAAAACGGGTATAGCCCAACGTGTTTTGATACAAAAACTATGATCAGCTGCCGACATTAACACATTATATTTGAAATGTTCGTCACGGCGACTATAAAACACACACACACACACACACACGGGTATACGTCCACCAGCAGGACGCTCGAAAACATCGAGATCAACTTTACTTTAATCAGTAGCTATTAAATCATTCAGGGGTGTGTAATCTAACAATATACGTGAACCACAGAAAATTAAAATAATCTATTTACTCTTACATTCTTATTTCATGCTGACCTTTACTCTTACATTCTTATTTCATGCTGACCTTTACTATTATATTCTTATTTCATGCTGACCTTTACTCTTATATTCTTATTTCATGCTGACCTTTACTATTATATTCTTATTTCATGCTGACCTTTACTTTTATATTCTTGTTTCATGCTGACCTTTACTCTTATATTCTTGTTTCATTGACCTTTACTCTTACATTCTTATTTCATGCTGACCTTTACTCTTATATTCTTATTTCATGTTGACCTTTACTCTTACATTCTTATTTCATGCTGACCTTTACTCTTATATTCTTATTTCATGCTGACCTTTACTCTTATATTCTTATTTCATGCTGACCTTTACTCTTATATTCTTGTTTCATGCTCACCTTTACTCTTATATTCTTATTTCATGCTCTGACCTTTACTCTTATATTCTTATTTCATGCTGACCTTTACTCTTATATTCTTATTTCATGCTCACCTTTACTCTTACATTCTTATTTCATGCTGACCTTTACTCTTATATTCTTATTTCATGCTGACCTTGTCTTAAATGAGTACACACATTTCATTCACTAGAAAGTTATGTGGTGTTATATTTGCGCATGTAGCTTAGTTATATATCTTGGGAAAAATAATTGTCAGCTTGACTCCAACACTACTGCAAAGTAGCCATTTAAAAAGCATACAGATGTGAATGAATTGTTTCCTGCTAGTAATAAGTTAACTACTTTGATTTCCACCAGGTGTTAAAAATATAAAAGCTGTTTTTTTGTTTTTTTTGCTCGATACCATACACACATTGTATAAAATGAAATATATTCTTATATTTTGTATATTTGTATAACATATAAAAACTAGAGGACTCTTAATGTGTTGGTCTTGATTAAATGTTATTTGTTCCGAAGTTTTCTCGACTGGAATTGTCCACTCTTTCTCAGACATACCTTCTTCCAGCAGCGCCCAAAACCGTTCGTAATAATCACTGACTGTTCTATCCAAATAGATCGAAACTGGGAAAACAATCTCCTGCCAGTGGCACAATCCACATAAATACCACCGTTCTTTACGGATTTGTGAAGGGCTTGAAAACGGATTATTTCAATTTGTTTCGAACTTAAGGTGCGCACAGAGCTTCCCCGCCTCCCAATCGAGAGAAGACAATCCCCAGACGCAAACTTAATTTGTTTTCGTTCATCACGGCTTTTCCGTCTGTTTAATGTAAGATTCTCAGCTGCTGGATCTTCCCCAAACATGTGTGTGTATGTGTGTGTGTTGGAAGATTGTAGCTTAATGTCCATCAAAGTAATGTCAACATGCGCTTTTTATTGTTATCAAGGTACATTTAGTTTGCTCTCTAATGTATACCCAAGGATAAATCACTTGTTGTTGGTGAAACATTGTACACTGCGATCCTACTGTTCGATAACCAGTTGCTGAGCGCATTTTACGTTAACACCATAAGATACAGACATAGCTGATGCATTTAAAAATTAAACAGAACCCGCCAAAATCTGCACTATCATTTGGTGTACAAATCTACATATATATAGACAATGGGACATTCGATCTGTTAGGGTGAATATTTTTTCAATTACAAACACTACGATTTTTTTCCAACAAAGTCATGAAAACTACAAGCTTATTCCAGTCGCTGGGTTCTATGTATTCGGGTATCATTTTTTCCATACTTTTCCGTGGAAACAAGTAATATTGCCTGCATATAACTCGGTATTAACGTTTGTCACCACTATTTACCCGCTTGGTGCTCTCTTACTATAACAATGATCCTCTGTGTCTGTCTCCTGTTCATCCAGATTGGCTAGCTCGATTACTTTAATTCATTTGTATGGTAACCGTACATGGAATATTTTGTTTTAGAAGTTTTGTTGGAGAAGAGTGATAAAACACACCCTGAAATAGGGCACATTTCCACTTACTTACAGACTTTTGGGTTTGCATTTAAAGACACAAATACTTAATAAGTTAAATACGTTAATTATTACCTCCCACAAAGCAAGGTATGCAAGTAGCATTTAATTGAGTCGTTAGAGATTTAACAACAATAGAAAGAAGAAAGGGGGACATTGTTTTCTTTCGTAACAGGTTCCCTCAGCTAGTAATGATAGTAAAAGACTTGTGTGAAATGATTTCGTCATGCTTATATTATTAACTAAACAACCAGTTGGCCCTTTTATAAGCCTTAACGCACATTGGATACGATCCGTCATTTATCATCGTCATCCGAAAGTCGTGTGTCAAGTTCAGTCCACATTAGATGTATTAAAACCGTACTTAAATATTCAAAATGGCTAAAGTTCTATCTTCCCCTAACTCCAACACCGATGAAGAATATATATTTCTTATCTTATGGAATAGAAGCCCCCCCTTTTTTTTTCTTTTTTGGTGTCCTTGTAGTCTTTGTTTGATTTGTCACACTTTTTTTTATGTTCGACTACACACACAATATGAATTCTTGCAAACTCATGTTGCGCAGGTAACAACACGGAACTACAAGAATCCACGTGTCTTCCGACTGATTAGCATTATTCAGTGCAATTCGTAACGCATGTCAAATCGGATTAAATCGAACAATTACGGACCCAGTATGCGAGGTGCATTACGGAATGTACTAACTTGTTAAATTATTTTTGTTGCGTGACATTTACGCACGTTGAAATAGGATGAACGATCGGATCCGCTGTGCAATGGCCTTTAGTCAGTTTTAACAAGCATGAGACTTTCGTAATACAAACAACAAACTAATTCAAGAGGAAGACACTAACAGTTTTAAGCATTACTGAGGAAGAAGGACAACGAACTTTCATAAAACACTAACAGTTTTAAGCATTACTTAGGAAGAAGGACAACGAACTTTCATAAAATACTAACAGTTTTAAGCATTACTTAGGAAGAAGGACAACGAACTTTCATAAAACACTAACAGTTTTAAGCAATACTGTGCAAGAAAGACAACGATTCTTCATAAGACACTGACAGTTTCACGCAGTAATGAACAAGAAGGACAACGATTCTTCATAAAACACTAACAGTTTCACGGAGTAATGAACAAGAAGGACAACGATTCTTCATAATACACTAACAGTTTCACACAGTAATGAACAAGAAGGACAACGATTCTTCATAAGACACTAACAGTTTTACGCAGTAATGAACAAGAAGGACAACGATTCTTCATAAGACACTAACAGTTTCACGCAGTAATGAACAAGAAGGACGACGATTCTTCATAAGACACTAACAGTTTTAAAATTTACTGAACAAAAATGACAACGATTCTTCATAATACACTAACAGTTTCACACAGTAATGAACAAAAAGGACAACGATTCTTCATGATACACTAGCAGGTTTAAAATTTACTGAACAAAAAGGACAACGATTCTTCATAAGACACTAACAGTTTCACGCAGTAATGAACAAGAAGGACGACGATTCTTCATAAGACACTAGCAGGTTTAAAATTTACTGAACAAGAAGGACAACGAACCTTCATAAATCACTAGCAGTTTTAAGAGGTGCTGTGCAAGAAGGACAACGAACCTTCATAAATCACTAGCAGTTTTAAGAGTTACTGTGCAAGAAGGACGACGAACCTTCATAAATCACTAGCAGTTTTAAGAGTTACTGTGCAAGAAGGGCAACGAACCTTCACAAAACACTTGCAGTTTTAAGAGTTATTGTGCAAAGAAGGGCAACGAACCTTCATAAAACACTAGCAGTTTTAAGAGTTACTGTGCAAGGAGGACCAAGGAAAAATGTTGTGTTTAAATCGGTAATTCTTTTTAAAACGTGAATAATCGGTGAACTGGCATTAGAATTTTCAACACATGAGCCAAAAGGTTGGATCATATACCCCAGTCAGCAGTATACGCCGCCCACACGACTACTCATAACTGAATAGCAGGATTGATTGTCACTGTGATAATTACCTCTTAGCTGAAAGTATGTTAAGCGGAATATCACATCTCGAACCTTGGGGTTTGCTTAAAACATCCAGATATGCTAATCACTATGCCATGCCCGGTTTACCTCATGGTGAGTATTCTGTAAGTTTTCACCTTTGGGGTTTAGATATCAGCAATGTCTCACAATGCGATAATTCTGTTATTAAACTTGATAAAACACGAGG